GAGACCCAAATATACCTACATAAACGTGTAAAAGCTGAAACTCATTTATGTGCTCTGTAAATCTGAATATAGCTCACAAAAGATCACAGAGTCAGCTCCACAAATAGAAGCTTCCAGATATTCAAAGTCCCAGGACAGAAAACGGCCACTAACCTGGTAGTGTACATGTATGTATCAGCCATAACTCACAGCTCTTTTTTTCACATTGTCTTCTTTAACCAGACAGAGGAGCCTCTAGCTATGCCCACATGGTTTGTATTTTATGGGGGTAAGCAAGCAGAGAACTGTAAAATGCCATTTACTATTAAATAATTTATTCTATTGCCCAATTCAATACACTGGATCTGCTTTCGTGTGCATTCAAGTGTAAGAACTGAGGTTTCGCTTTGGAGATGAACTTTTTTAATAATAGATTTTTTAGCCAGTGAGATCTTTTTGGTCTCCCTGGAATTACTCTAGCTGAGGAATTACAGTGTGTGATAATTGTTTTTAAATGGTATGAAGAGCAGGGTGACACAGTCCCTATAAGTGAAGGGAGTAACTAGGCTTGTCACAGGGTCATCACACAAGGGGCCCCCATTAGATGGTTGGGCATCCTTTCTGCTGTCCAGCAAGTCAATGGAAGAGGAGGTCTGAGACAAGACGGCTATTCAATCAGTAATAAATAATTATTCAGTTCATGAAACATATTAGTCTAACTCTACGATTTCAAAGCTGAGTTATACACCACCTGATACCTACAATAATCTTCCTATCATACTATCCAGTGGCATGTCTAAGAATACTGGTCACTTCTCTAATGAATGACAGTAGGCACATAATAATTGCATGTAACATGGAGAGAAATTACTACTAAGAAGAAAATATCTCTAGTTTTTGAAATTAAGGTTCTTGTGCTTTGGAAACTATCTGTGTACCCTAAAAAGTCACCTGTCTATTTTATTGGTGACTGATAAGACTCTCAAGTTGGAATCAGGCTTTCTTTTCCTAGAATCATCCTTTTTGATGCCAGGTACGAAAATATAGTTTACCTGCATTTGCATGGGAAATGTTTTCTGTCTCTACTCCTTAACACCAACATTTCAGAAGAAAGTGCTATCAATATGAAGTTATATTTTTTTGTTAAATATTTTAATAACAGGGTCAATCGAAGAAGTCCTTATTTTATAAAGCAAAAGAAAGTGAGTAAACATGTAATATTGGGTAAATTTTAAAAAATCAACAACAAAAATGAGGAGTGTTAACATTTTCAGCATTAACTATTGGTACAGAGAGGTCTGAACTCAGACCTCTCAGAAAGCAAGTGAGCATTGATATGGTGCTCCTTCAATGGAGCCTTGGCAAGAGCCAGCTCTAGGTTTTACCAGACTCTTTTCTATAAATAAATATTCACCTGTCTACATCATTGGTTTATTCCTCTATTCCTTCATTCAACAAATAGCTATGGGGAGAGTTCTATATGCACCGCAACATTCCAGGAGTTGTGGGAGCCACAAAGATAATGAAATAGTTTGCATTTTATAAAATACTTTTCCACATTTCATTCTGTACTCACAGCAATACTGAGACAACTAATGATAAACTAAAGTTTGTACTAAGAAAAAAAGTAATAAAATTAAAACATGTAAGGTAAGTAATTTGAGCTAATTCTCTTTCAAATTTCTTGGTAGGAACGATAGCAGCTGTACTTTTATCAGCAGGCAAATTTATTGATTCCAGGGCTTCTTCCATCTGCTTCTATCCTATAAAGTTTAATCTCAAGGCTTTTTAGACACTAGGCTAGCTAAAAAGCTGGACACGTACAAATGGGAATTTGGGCTGAAAAGTTTAATTTCTCTTTGCAAGGTATTTGTGTAGAAAGATGATTATTGAGCATGTATCAGCTCTAGGGACTGGTGTCATGAAAAGTCACAGAAAATAGGTGTTTTCCAACTGGGAATAGTGATTTTTTTCCCCACTACCTCCTTGTGGTTTTGGTAAAACTCTGACCATTGTCAAACCTCTCACATCCCTTCTTTATGAAATTACCAACTACCCTTATAAGGTTTAAATTAGACACGCAGTACTACAAAAGTATGAAGGGAAATATATGTACTAGTATTCTGGGAGTCAGCCAGCCCACCAATAACTACCAACACCAAGGAAGTCTGAGAGGCATGCAGTGCCCCCCGCTGTTTCTACTGGGAGCTTCACATCCAGTCACACGTCCAAGTCAGGATGTCATAAGCAGGAACTCGTGGTGTCAAGGCTCTGATGAGTAGAGATGGGGGATGAGTTTATTCATCAACAATCTGAAAATGTGCTGCTCTGTCAGAATACAGAGAGAGCTTCTGGAGGGGCTGCCTGATAATGACACTCCCCTCCCTTCTTTTATGCACTTACTGCACTTTTGAATGTGTTGTAAAGTTTCTTACACTTAGAAGAGGTGGGCCCTTGCTTTTTCACAGCTAAATTATAAGAATGTATGGAAAGAAAAAAATGATCATTTGTTTCTGAATATTTAGGTTAAGTGCTGTATTTTTTCTGTCTCATTTTGTAATACATTGTTTTGCAAAATACATAAATGTTTCTTAGAAATTTTTTAATCATGTCTTTGCTGCAGACATCTAGAGAAAAATGAAAAAAACCACTGCTTTCTAAAAGCAATATATCTGTTAATTTTATTAGAAAAGTTATTTTTCAACCACTGGTTTGTTAAACCACTATATTCTTAAATTATAACAAACACATATGTGTATATATATATATGTATATAATCATGAGGTTTATATTTGGTACAATATTTTAATAATGCTTTTTGGAATAGTTGCCTTTATTGTAACTTATTAGACATAAGACTTAATAGATATACTTTAAATATGATGTATAATGAATTTGTATTAGTAAAATATGATTATGATATATTTCAATTAATTAAAAACTTTTATTCTTTAAAACAATGCTTGGCCCATTTATTACATGATTGTCTTGCCACATCAATCTCTACTTTAGCTGCTGTGCTGATTCCTGACTAAGTGTGAAATTCTTGAAGGGTGTTTGTTACTAGAGAAATGTGTCTTCTTTGTGCACCATAATTTTAAAAAAGGTAAAAATCCCAAATTTGTTTATACTGTCCCACATCAGCTCCACCAATGGGGTATATCTCTTTCTCCAATTTTCCAAACTTGATTAAAATTCATTTGTAGGCCAAAAGCAAACCAGTGTATCTGTTGCAAGCAGTTCATGTGTCAGTAGTAACCCACATGATGAACTTCTATGCAGTGTCAATTCCCAGGAACAAATAAGAACACATTCAAAAACGACCCACAGAGCAGAGCTTGAGCCCTAGACTGTACTAAAAACTTATTTCTCTATTTTTTCCCCCTGCTTTCAACTAAACTGAAACCCTACCAATGCCACCATCATTTCCTGAAGATCTTATAATCAGAGCAGCTCTCCTGCCCAGTCTCATCTGATGGAAGCACTTTTTCTGTACTCTTTTCTGCCTCTTTGGCAATATAGCCTGCTATCACTTTGAAAATGGTGCAAAGGAAGTTCTTTCCATTAACTTCCAATTTATTCCTTTCCTATTGCGATCCTAAAATGAGCAAAAGGAATGTTAAGAACAGAATTTTAATGTAATTCAATCGAAAAGGTTTGTTCCTCTGACAAAATCCTGCTGCTGGGTAACATTCATTTTATTACAAGGGAATCTGTCAAAAAAGAAAAGCAATTCAAGCTACAGGAGAACTAAGCCTTATGTATAAGATCCATTCCAGAGAAGTTGTATGGGAAATATTTGTATATTGGATCATTTTTTCTACTGACTTTTATTATAATTTTAGAGGCGTGCTCCTACAGAAAATACTTTCGCTTCAGCACATCCTTGTAGAAATCACACTAAGGAACTCAATATTCATTTCTAAGGACTATTTTGCATTTGTCAACATGCCATCTCTGTACATCTAATTTCTCCTTATGATTTGTGCAATGTTAGTGAAGTGAACAAGTAATCGAAAATGATTTTACACATGCATTCACTGCAAAGGACATATACCATAAAATATACAATGGCTAATTCTCATTTCATTCTAATCGACCTCACAAAATGAGCCTGTTCAAGTCACACATTGCCTGGGCCACTACTCCACAGATGTAGTACAATACCCCGGCTAGATGAGCCTCATACTTTTTCATAAGCTTTCAGAGCGACCAGAAATTCCTGATTTGCTTTTAGTGGTAAGGTTCTATTCAGTGCCGTTTAGATTCTCAATAACTGGTTATAAAAAGTTAAGCCCTTCTATTTGATAAGAATAACATAGATGGTGCTGATGTAATCAGCCAAGTTCATTGTAAATGTTTTTAAAGTTCCTTTTCAGTGACAGCTCCCAACATAGTCAGCTTTATCACATGGGCAAATGTTAACCCAAAGGGTTTAAGCCCCAAACTAAAGCCGTAGTACGTTTCTCAGAAGGTTTAGTTGCTGGGGCCGGTCCCCTGGTGTAGCGGTTAAGTGTGTGTGCTCCGCTGCTGGCGCCCTGGGTTCGGATCCCGGGCACGCACCGACCCACCGCTTGTCAGGCCATGCTGTGGCGGCGTCCCACATAAAGTGGAGGAAGATGGGCACGGATGTTAGCCCAGGGCCAGTCTTCCTCAGCAAAAAGAGGAGGATTGGCATGGATGTTAGATCCGGACTGATCTTCCTCACACACACACAAAAAAAAGGTTTGCTGTTAACATACTAGGTCTGTATGAAGCGAAATGTTAATCCTTAAGCAGAGGTAGATTTACCACGATGCCGACGAAACTTAAGCTTCAGAGCTTCCCACTTGCATTAGTCCCTTACAAGGCCCTGAGTCTAATTCTGTCTTCTGTTTCCAGAAAGAAGGATCCAAAAATTATAAAAGCTCCGCACCCCCCAGAACCTGGATTCCACCTTCCCTTAAATTTATCTTATTGTTTTAGATTAGATTATTACATCACAGCATTTTATAATCAGAGTAGAATTCTGACATACTTACTCAAAAAACGTCGTCCATCCAGTTTCATCGCTTTTGGTGGCTAAAAGGCCACTATTGCCATGGTAAGTAAACAAAACTAATTCTAGTCCTTGAGCAGTCATGCTTTTCAAACATCCGTTTGTTCCTATTGTCAACCATATCACTTGGTTATCTGGAGACACCACTCGAACCGGCATCCGATTCGGGTCCCGTCTAATTCTAAGGGTATTGCCATTGCTGTCCGTCACAGCAGTAATATCATTGTCATTGCTGTAGCTAAAATTGTACAGGTAATCACCAGTGACTAAACTTACAGTATATTGGTGAGTGCCATTGATGTCAAAGATATAGAGTTCTTGATCAGTTGGAGAGGCAACTTCATAAAAGTTCATAGAGTTAAGCAATGGCTTATTCTTTGACACAGCCCGAATCCGAATATTTCCTAGGTCTGCAATATACAAGGTACCATCTGGAGAAGCAGCTAAGGAGGACGGAGCATTAAGTTTGGCGTCTTTGGCATAGCCGTCCCCACTCTGGTAACAGTCACAGTTGGCATCATTTTTGCAGTCACACTCTGAAGGTATTCCAGCCACCAAGGAGATCTCCCCATCTGTTGTGACCTGCCTTATTCGGTTAATTTTCTTTTCGTCGGTTTCAGTAATGTACAGGACCCCACTGTAGGACACAGCAATGGCAGTAGCCGATTCCAGTGTCGTCTGAACTGCGTGCTTCCCCACAGAATATTCCACTCCTGGAACCTGACAGTGCATGGGCCGTCCAGCAGCAATGCGCACTTGACGATTTTCAGTGATCTGTAAAACTACATTATTATCCAGGACATAAATGGAGTTATCCATAGGGTTAATGGCTAGATCAGTGGGCCATTCCAGACGTACCTTAATAAAAAAGAAATGGTCTGGTTAGTCAGTTACTGCACTGCAGTTAATTTGCCAGAAGAGTAAATTAGACCATTTGGGGAAATTACCCTTAATTTGATAAACTGTTTTAAAATTGTTTTTTCAATAGCTACAGTAAAATAAACTTAAAAATTGTGAGCGGAGACCAATGTAGGAAATAACATTTTATTTAAAAATGCAGCTTATTAAAAGATTTGCAAGTTATAGCCCAATAGCAAAAGAACCTCTAAGGAGCAAGTTAATAGATATCAATGAGATATGAACACATATGTTCCCGTTAGCAGTAATAACCACCAAATGTCGAGCTTTCTAGGTGAGGAATACATTAGTGTGCTATTGTGTTTTCAATCAGGCCAATAGCAAAGTTCCTAATTCTAAATATAAGTCCCTTGGGACTGATCCTAGTTGGTTCTCTCTACTACTTATGGAGCTCATACAATCAAAAGATTAGAGATTTAAGCTGTTTTGTTCTTTCTGGAATATCTGCATGCTGCTCTTTTACTGGTATTTTATTACAAATACTCGGCATTTCTTAGTGATAATTGTTCTGTATCTCACTGAATTCATCAAATGCAGAACTACTGAAGAAAATAACGTTTTATTAGCTCCTGAGATCCATTTAAATGGAACAGCGTTATCACAACTACCACTACACAGATACATGCAGTTTAACATGGTGCCATCACAGTCTCCTGACATAGTAAATCAAGTCACTTAGAAGAAAAACAAATAATTCAGCTTAATATTTTAACTACCTGGCTGATGTGCATGCTAGTGTCACAAGTTAAAGGTCTGGCTGAAGTCAGATCGTTAGAGCCCAGGAGAGTTGATATGATTCCATTTTGATCAACTTTTCTGATCATGGTTCCATCAACAAAGTAGATTAATCCATTCTTATCAACTGCCATTCCTTTATCCAAGAGAATTAAGTGTTACTAGTTTTTCAAAAATGATTAACTTTGATTAAACTTTGAGGCTCATCATTCAACTCAACATTTAACCCCAGGATAACATGGGTGATGGGTAACAGACAGGATTGTAGATTGCAAACACATTAGGAAAAACCCAACATAGGCATTTATAACACAAATAAATGTAAAGTGTAATAAAGAAATAACCCAAATTGGTAGGAATCTCTGCTTAGTCTGTGAATCATCTATGCCATACCTGTGTTTTAAATATAAAATTATAATGTCTGTATAATGTTGTCTATAAATTATAGAAACAGATCAAATTCTGTTACGCTGAACTTAGAGTAACTACATTCTAACGAAAACAGATCTAAGCTAAGGTTAGCGTTTTGTTGACCTTGCTACAATGAAATTTGCTATGATGAATAATTCAGCACAACAAATACTTTTTTCCAGTCCTTGTTCACATAATAGTCAGTAGCTATAATGAAAAAGAAATAAAGCCTCAAACCAAAAAACACCATGATGAATGGCATAATACATGAGCAAGGAGTCAGTCCTGGCTAGTTTAAAAGCTAGAAACCTTTATCACACAGAATTTTAGCCCTTATTACCTCCAGAAATTCTTCACAGCAAGCATTTTTTTCCCATGGCATAGAAACAAAAGTTTAATAGCTCCAAACTGGTGAGGGCTAATAGGGTTGCTTAGTGATGCTTTTTAAAGAGGCCTGGGATTCATTCCTGACAAAGAAATTCCGGGACAATGCAAGAATTTGGACACTTCCTTGAAGTTTAACAGGATGTGACCTGAATAATACAGAGTAGTTGCTTTATTCTTTGAAAAGTTGAGAAAATGGTATGATAATAAAAAATGCCAAGAACCTAATATTTACTGTAAAATCAACTTAGGATTTTAGCAGTTTCACGCTAAATGGCTTTTGAAAACACTAGATATGAAACAGCTTTCCAGAACACAGCTGAGGGTAAAACGTTAGACTCAGCATTAAACACAATCAGGCACTAACTGGATATTCTACCCTTTTATTTTTTTAATAAAAAGAAATCCGCAAATTGACACATGCCAGTACCTTTGGGACTCATGAGTGTGGCTTCCACAGCCTTCCCTCCATCCCCACATCTGGCTTCATCAAACGGAAGGCATTGCTCTCCTGTTCCTGCAACCACTTCAGCATTTTTAGTCAAGTCTTTTGCACCCGTAAGTGATTTTGGGCGATAAATTCTGCGGGTGTTCGTGTCAGAAACGTACAAATCTCCTGTGACTGGATCAGTTGCAAGGTAGTATCTGTGAGCTGGGTTGCTGCTGTAAAAAAAGGATCATACATAAACATCACAGGAGAGTTACTCCTAACACACAGAGAGAAATTAAAAGCAAAATAAAATAGATCATGAGACATTGATTATAAAGTGAAATCTATTATCAAAGATTGGGAAATGAACAGCAGATTTAATAATCACTTAAAAGAATGACTTAACGCTTCTAGCCTAAAACAAAGCAGCAAGTTCTCTAAATCTTTTTGGTTCGATGCAAAGCCATTAATAAATTGCCCTTGAGTGACAGACATCAAGTTTATTCCAGGGGAAGCGTGTCTCTACCCAACCCTCCAGTGAAGTAAAACATACTACTGATTTCACTCGCACTTCATCAGAGAGAATTCTCCTGTTTTCTCTTGCTACAAAACCAAATCAAACTCAACACCTGTCTCTGAAGAAATGTAGCATTGTGTCTGTCTTGGTTGCTCTATCACAATCCAGAAAGGTAATCTGATGTAGTTACAATGTTTGTCCTGAGCTGTGGGGTTAAAGATTAAAATGAGGTCATTCGAGTGTGGGAGGCAGGCTCGGTCGTGGTCTAAGGCAATGAGTCACAATGGTACATCCGTTTTCAAAGTTTGTAAATTAAGCTGCTCTAAAACCTGTCTATGAATTTGGTGAGATATAGGCATTTGCTCACAAAACATAGTGCATCAATTTTATAAATATAAAGTGGTGCAAATGTAAACTATGTTATGTCCCACTTTCTGTAAAAAATGGCAAGACCAACATTATCAAGGAATGGACAAATTATGACATTTAGTTGGAATTAAAAAATTAATCTCCTTACAAACACTCAACACCACATTCTTAGAATTAATGCAATTTTGTACCATATGCAAATACCACTTTCTGAAAAAAACATTTTGAAGAGACTTTAAATAATGTGGTCCCAACAAAGATGTCAACTGATAGGAATCTACTGGATTCCACATATGTTTGGATGACTAACTTGGTTTCATTAATTCATTCCCATCTCTCTCTCTCTCTCCACACACACACACACACACACAAAATTATATGCTTGTTTTCATTTATTTTATATGTGAATATTTAAAATCTGTAGCATAAATCTACCTACATGAAAATATTTATTCTAAATAATCGTTTAGTAGTATTCTCATTACTAGTTAGGTTCTATTGAAACAATTCTCACTACTTAATGTTCTTCCTTTTTTTTTGGTGAGGAAGATTGTTCCTGAGCTAATACCTGTGCCAACCTTCCTCCATTTTTTGTATGTGGGTCGCCACCACAGCATGGTTGACAAGTGGTATAGGTCTGTGCCCAGGATCTGAACCTACGAACCCAGGCTGCCAAAGCGGAGCACACTAAACTTAACCACTATACCACTGGGCAGGCCCCAATGCTCTTGCTTTTAAGTGGTGAATATATGTGCTTCATCGCTCCTGTAAGAGTCTGTTGTTAAAATAACAGGTTCCAGTTTCCGCTAGTGTTTCTCACATTGGTGGAGAGGCCGACCACTCACGGAGTCTGTAGGGACTTTCTGGAGCTCTGAAAAGCTCTACGACTGTGCCGTTGGCATCCAGAAATACTGAGACACATAGAGGCCTGAATACCTTCAGTTTTTGGGTCTCCTTTCCAGTCTTTCATATCTTTTAGTGACAAGAGACAGATTAGTGCAAGAGGTCATGAGTGTGTAAATATGTCTGAAAGGGTGAAACGTGATATGAAGAACTCATAAAGAGATGCAAGTCATTTGAAATAAAAACATTTCAGAACTGCTGGGTTATACCAAACGATCAACTTGCCATGCTAAGTGTTATTATACCATTTTTCTAGGTTGATGCCTGAAATTTTAAATGCAGTAAGACATATTGTGTTCCTTAGTGTGGTGGTTTATTACTTTGTAATGAAGTAAAAGGTACATATCAATATAACATTCAGAGCAATTTTATAGAGGTTTTTTTTTCTCTGTAAACAGTCTGATATTGACAGAGCTGGTCTTTTGGGTATATATAGTTGGTGACAGACTTGCAAATCACTCAAGCTGGGTCTCTTTTGAGATACATGACATTAGAGAGACTTCTCTAGTCTTTCCTATCTCCCTGATTATATACTATTATGAAGAGTTGTATAGTTGGCTATGAATGCATACACACACACATACATACACTTTATTTTCTTGTCAGTTGTATATTTATGAGCAAGACCTCTGGACCAGCTTGCCTGAGTTTGAATCCCAGCTTCATCACTAACTGTGTGACCCTGGGCAAGTTATCTAACTTATTGTAAAGGTGCTAATAATCATACATATTTCATAGAATGCTGAGAGGATTACATGAACTAATACATGTAAATTCCTTAGAACAGTGCCTAGTACATAATAGATGCTCAATAACCGTTAGCTATTCTTAACATATGCTTTTGTTCTGTCTCCTCTTACACTGCAATATGCCTTTTGCTTTGTAACTCTATATAGTGTAGGACTGCAATAATTATTATTAACTAGCTAAAGTATAGTATGCTTTCTGAAAATGTTAATAAGGAAAAAAATTATCTAAACTTGGATAGGTTCAAATTTGTATCCTTAGTCCTGCTGTTACACTATAATATCCTAAACTATTAAAATAAGGCAAAACCTTCTTAAAACATCCACTTTGAATTATTTCTAGAGTAATGATGCTAGAGGTAAATGAATCATGCATGCTTTTTCATGATGTCCCTCATTTGGAAAAAACAACAGATTTTTGAGGTGGCTGCTTGAGTAGTAGTGACACACTCTTTAGCCACGGGATGTGAGTTTTCTTGGTGCAAAAATAATGGACATTCAAATCCCAAGCTTTGCCTTTACTGGCATTGGTTTTATTCTAGTGGGACAGTAATAAGAGAATGTCCAAAGTGGTGCTTATATTTGCTATTTCTTATCCTGAAACATCTCCTTCCTTGAAGACACAGAAACTTCTAAATCAAGCAACATATGTCAATGGTTTTAAAAATGTCCGCCAAATGAAAGCTCTAATTTCGCACACAATTCTATTGTCCAGAAGAACAAGTGTGGAGGAGTATGTAGCCCTGGAGAATTCGCCTCTGGAAGTATTCCCTCCAGAATGGTGGGAAATGAGAATTGGGTAAGTTCCCTGCAGAGCAGCCTAGCCTGGCAAATTAGAGCTGGTTCTTAGATCCCAGCCTCCCCTAAATGAAAAGAGGGATCAATACAGAAATACTCAAAGAAAAAAAAAAAGTGGTTTGGAAATGTTTAGTTGACAGACAGGTGGCAGAGAAGCTCTGAGCAGTATCTGCCATACGTCTGGGATTCAAGGACACGGAATTTAAGCAGAGAGTTTTCCAACTTCCTGAAAAGCCAAAGAATGAGAGAGGCTGGTGTGGTACAAAGCGGGGTGAGCTTTAGATCAGTAATATACCTCGTGTGAAAATGTGAGCCTACGATGACTGAAAACAGTCTGCTGCTGGCAGCTGGAGTGCAAGAATTTACAAAATGCGTGATCTGGGGGAATGAGATTTCCATTTCAGAAAGGTTTAAAATAACAATCAGATTTTGACACATAGCAGGAAAATCAAAGAAACTGAGATCAAGTCAAGCACCTTTAGTATACTGTCTCTTGATTCTTAACTCGCTCTGAATTGTCTAGATCATCACAATTATCAAGCCATCTTCCCCATGGTCTTATGCGATTAGATCTAGATCCAGTGGTAAATGCAGACTAGATTTGCTCATTTATTTTGTCATAACTCAACCTTCTTAGATTAGAGAAATATTCACAAAGAACAAGCTATAGAATAGATATCATTAGCACTTTTATCTTTTTAGTTGGAAATTGTGCCATAGTCCTTAGAACACAGAGTGTTTGAAGAAGCATAAATTATATTTATGGATAAATATACCATTTATATTGGTATACTACCTATTTTCTGGCAACCAAAAGGCTGTTTAGATTATTGCAAGAAGGGCTTTGGGATGTGATATTTTTGTGCCTGCTTGATTTTTAAATATTAAGCCAATAGAAGTGCTGAATCAAGTTTTTACGATTTTGTATCTAAACTTGAATTGATTCCAATTCACAGACCTGTAATTGACACTTTCTTTGATCTTTTAATTGGTAATATAAAATTCACAAAGTTGATTTTCAGTCCTACATGTTTCAATGCCCCTTGGCTGGTATTAGTTAATTAAGTTCCTTTATTTTGAAATTTTAAAGAATTGGAAGAGGGATGAACTAAAATTTACTACCCACAAAAAGGATTTGTTAGCAAACTAATACTATAAACGTCATAGTGGGAAATGTTTCGCATATCTAAGAGAAACATTTTTTAAGCATTTCGGAAGCTTCCATTTATGTAAAAAACTTAACATGTTGATTGAGTAGTATTTATATCTTTTCATTAAAATGTAGCTAGGGACTTTTATTCAATATAATATCCTGGCAGTACTTATTAAATTTGGTATAACAGAATACTCTGAGTTTTAAAATAAGACTATGTATTTTTATATTTATTTCGTTATTCAATATTTTTGTTAATTATTTCCCCATTAGTCCAATTAATGAGACTGTTGATAGTATGTGAAACATGGTCAGAGGACCAGAAGCATGCATTTTAATTTTTTACTTTATCATTAACAACCAACTATGCTGTTCATTTTTATAGGTTTAGATACATTTTTCAATTTCTTTTTTTTCCCATCACCTATTCCTAAGTCTCTCATTACTTTTACGCTAGCCAGGAAAGTGGGGATGAGGAGAAAGCCAGGCAGGATCCTATCAGCCAGTAAAAGAAAGATGATACAGGTAGGCAAATAGGAAGAATCACCTGAAAATAATTTTAATTTTTTAAGCTAAATGAGGAAGTTTCAATGAGCTGAAATATCTTGCTTCTGTTAAATCAGTTTTGATTAATTAGTTATTAAGCAAATGGAATCCCTATTTTTGTCAATGATTTTGTCATCTGTTTGATGACTTGGGGTCAAAAACCTTGGATGTTTTTTATATCTTCCTCTTCCCTATCACCCATGTACAGTCTGCCCATTTTCCACCCTCCTTTATTTTACTGGTTGATTTCCTTCATTGCTAGCCATACTATTTTAGGTACCTAGTGTGGGGGATGAGAATTGGTCACCCCAAAATGCATCTCTTTGCCTTGATTATTTTTAAAAATAAAAGACTCTGAAAGAAACTTTGACCTTCCCCCTAACCGCCTAAAAGAATTTAAAATAGAAGGCCTGTTCCAAGAAGGAGCTCATACCATAAGGTAACTGTAGTGTAATGTAAAATGTGTCTTTCGGGTCACATTGTCTATAGAGGGCTCAGCAAACACTTGTTTAACAAACATTTGCATTTCCATCTCCATGTAAATTGCCTTCCTCTCCTCAGAAGTCCCAAACCACTACCCCAACATCCTCCTTTGTCTTTAGCTAAAGATGGTATTTAAGGTGGTGGCTTTGGCCGTTCTGGTGAGTTATTCAGTTTTCCTGGGTTTCTCCCATGTATACATACATGTTATTAAACTTTGTTTGATTTTCTCCTGTTATTCTGTCTCATGTCAATTTAATTCTTCAACCAGCCAGAAGGACCTAGAGGGTAGAGGAATTGTCTTCCTCCCCTACACTAGTATCTCATGGTTTTGTGTAACAGCTTTCTAACTGATCTTCAAGTCACACTGAACATTGATACCAGATTAATCTTCCTAAAAGGCCCCTTTGGTACGCCACTATCTTGTTCAAGATCAGAAAATGGTTCCCCACTGTCTCTGTTCTCCTATAGGACAGAAGAGTAATTCCTCAGAGTACTCAAGGCCCTAAGCAATCTGACCCCAATCTGCCTTTCTACCTGTATCTCTCCTTATTACCAACATGAATCCCCTGTTTCATGTTCAGGTGGATCTGATTCCTCTCAGAACACGTCTTGTCTGTCTCCTTTGCAGACCCCAGTAACTTTATTTGCTCTATATTCTTTCTTCATGACCACCCTCCTTTCTTTTTCCATTTAAGCAGACTTCATTTTTAGACCTAGATCAAATATCACCCCTTCCATGAAACTTTTCCTTACCACACTCCCATCTCCCAGTATTCTCTTCCTCCACAGAATTACTCTGATAGTATAAGCCACGGATGTGATTAAGTGTCAAAGAATGATATTGACAATATTATTTAGTCTGTTACATATATATCGTTTCCCCTACTAGACTGTGAGCTCTGAGAGCACAGACTTTGTCTTATACTACTATTTGTCAAAGTGCCTGGCACATGGTAAGTGATCAGTTAACATCGATTTAATAAGGATGAATATCAATATAAAACACAAACAGTGTATTTTACATGCATGGTGCATAAAGAAAATGCAGGAGTCCAAATTTAGCCAGAATAATGTACAGAGGAGAAAGGTGAAGGAGGATCATGAGAGAGGGCTTACAATGAGTATCGCTGCCAAATACCATGAGTTAGTACATAATAAATTCATATTATAAAATATTATTAATAATAATGTAGCTCTAACTTCATAGATTTTTTTTTTTCCAGAAAAAGAGATTATAGTTCCAAGTAATTTGTCAAATGATCATGAAATAAATCTATCTTTTTGCATACCCAGGGAATTATCCCATGGAAACCTAGCTGTTTGGACACACAACTGGCTGTGTGGTGTAATGGAAAGAACACACCTTTTAGAGTGGTTCAAAACTCTGCTCCCATTTCTTAGTTGTGCATCTCGGGGCAGATATGTAACCTCCTTGAGCCTCAATGACCTCATCTGGAGCCCTGAAGCACTGTTGTGTGGATCCACAATAACATATATAAAATTTCTGGTGCCCTGCCTGGCATGTAATAGGCCAGCTTGTTAAAAGGCAGCTGCTTTGATAGTTTTTTCTGTCTTGCCTCCAGCATTTTCACATTTAGTTGGTGTACACATCTGTTTGTCTTTCCTCTTTTCTCCACAGTTACCAAGAAGGCAAGGCTGGAAAAATTTTGGTATTCTGCTGTGGTTTCTAATAGCAAAGCTTTGTATGCTTAGTAGTCTGGAGAAACTTAGTGTTAATCTTAGCAAGTGACTGAGCTATTAGCTGATGGTACAAGATCAACAGGGGATCTCAGGAAAATACGCCTGGTCATATGGACATGCAACAGCTATACGCCTTTCAGTAGAACTTTGCTTTTTATTTCCTAGTTGTGAATCTCCACACAATAGTAAAAATGGGTTATGCTGATTTATTCATCTCAAGGATCTCACATAAAATATTGCTAATTTTTCCATCTGTTATCATTTTATTGGATATTTTAATGGCCAAACTTGATCTAGCATGTCCAGTATGTCTTGTTTTTTACCAGCTTTACTTTAAAACATATTGTTTTTTCCCTCTTTTTTGCTGTCCTGGGAGAGTTTTTCAGCCAAAAGTATCCATATAAAAGCTTTTCCTGTATCTTCTCCAGCTAAGTGTACAGAGCAAATAGAAAAGGAAAAACATTTGAGACTATATATTTGCTTCAACTATATTCATCTGTAGCTTTGAGGAAAGTCTTTTCCTCCATAATAATGTCAATGAAAACATTAGTTCTTAAAACTCAAATCTGGTAATTCTCTCAACTTAGGAAAATATAAACTACAGCAATGATGAATTTACCGGGAAGTTAATAAAGTTTAAGCTTTAGGGTCCCTCACTTGTGTGGGTTCTTTCAAACCCCAGTGAGGTCCCTGGCAACACGTTTGCACGATGTTTCTAAAAATTTACCTAAGTAAAATATTTTTAGATTCTTTTTTTTTTGGTGAGGAAGATTGGCCCTGAGCTAACAGCTGTTGCCAATCTTCCTCTTTCTGCTTGAGGAAGATTTTCCCTGAGCTAACATTTGTGCCAATCCTCCTCTATTTTGTATGTGGGACACCACCATAGCACAGCTTAATGAGCGGTGTGTAGCTCTGTGCCCGGGATCTGAACCCGCAAACCCCGGGCCGCTAAAGCAGAGCACGTGATCTTAACCACTATGCAACCAGGTTGGACCCTAGGTTCTTCTTCTTAAACAGAGTCCCCCAAATTGAATAAGCTTTGTACGCAATAAACCAGGATCTGCCCTGGCTATTGGTCAAACTAAACTCTCTTTAAACTCTCCCTCCGTGCTTCAGATTTTGTTCTGTTCAACATGGCTTAGATTATGTGAGTCTGTAACTGATGTTTAGAAATATTTTTTGTTAAACAAAGATGTTCATCATAATAATTTTTCTAACAAAATTTATTTTATTAACCAACTTGAAAATTTTTTCAAATTATACTGCATGATGTAAATTGCAATATATTACATAACAATAGTTCATTTAAGAAGTTTTAATTCCTTAGATGTTCCATGATACTGTTTCCTCTCTCATGATGAAATGTTCTTAGAAAACAACGTCAAAGAGTCACATTGAAATGTAAAAAGGACATTTGAAAATACACAATAACCTTTACGCAAGATGCTTACCTATGTCTAAAATCTTTATTTCTTGGTGGAAGCAGATAAAAAAGGTGAAAAAAAAGCACAGTTAGAAAAGGCTTCTAAAATATAATGAGCTGAATACCAAGATTTTAATTATTTGTATGGAAAGTTGCCAACTTAAGCATGAAATGAATTTTGTAGGCCAAGGCTTATCAAATAATTTACAGAATAGGATGATTTTGATAATCACAAACAAATGAACAAAGCAAAGACAACAATTTATTACTTGAACTATTGGCATTATGGCTAATGGGTTAACCCAACTTGAAGATCCAATATTCTAGTTGAAAGTCATAGCTTTAGTTCATTTATTATTATGTCCTGATATTTTAGGAAAATATTTTATGCCTTACTTTCAATCACTGTGAAATAAAAGAGTAACAATGTATATCACAAGGTTATTCTAAAGACAACCAAAGGGACTTAAAAATCATAGTTTGATCCTATTGGAGCATACAAAATTCACTGGAATCAGTGAGACATTTTATATACAAGGTAACTTTATACTCCTTTATACATTTATGGCACAATGTATATGTGTTGTGCTTTTCTTAACTTTAACCAAGAATCTAACTTCTTTCCAGGGAGAATTTTCAACATTGGGAAGGTATATTTATATAAATAAATTAGTACTATAAAGTCAACATTTTTTTTTATAAAGGCATGTTTAGCTTTGATTAAAATCCCAAATTACAGAAAGACATACCTTAGTTCTAAAACACTTGTTACGTTTCCAGAAGGGAATATCCGCCGGACGTAGTTGAAATCCCCTACATATAGACTGCCATCGATCCCGCAAGCTAATGCAACTGGGGCCAATAGTTTATTACCATCAGCTTGACCGTTGCAACTCGGGCACGAGATACTGCGCCTTCGTCCATTGCCCATGATGCTACTGACAACCGGAGGCTGTTGGGAGATAAACTGATTTTCCCCATTTCCCTTGTACAGTATACCTAGAAGAAATAAGATGCATTTTTCTCACGATAAAAAGTGTAAAGATGAAAAGTAAACACGTTCACTATAGATCTAACTACAATTCAGTGCCTTTTAGATTTGGACCGGGAAAATTTTTATTTAAAGTTCTCTTGGAAAGAACTCCATTCAGTTACCTAGTGTAAAGTATTATATGACAAAATACACAGGGTATATACAAAAAATGCTGTTCTGTTCTGGATTTAAAGAATGTCTGGTGAAAGAAACAAAGACTAACAATTAAAAACCCAAATTGTCAACACCAGTGATTCTCAAACTTGGCTACACATTGGAACTGAATGGCGAGCTGTAAAAAATACTGAAGCTGGATCTCATCCTGAGAGATTCTGATTTAGTTGGTCTGGGGTGCAGCCTTGGCACTGAGATTTTAAAAAAACTCTCCAGATGATCCTAATGTGCAACCAAGTTTGAGATCCAGGCTCTACATAATGTTCTTTAAGGAATAACAAGTTACCTTAATTGTTAAATGATGTTAAAATATATTAATCCAATTAATAAAAATGTACATCATAAATATGAATTTCTTCTTTATGAGTTTATCACTGATTTTTAAAAAGTTAAAAATACTTTACAGAAAACAAAGAAAATATATATCAAACTTCCAATATACTACTACACTGTCAAAGAATATTCTTCTTGGGTATACTCTTGTTTGCTATAAGAATGCATATACACACAGTTATTCAAAAAATCAAACATTACAAAACTGTTGTGGAAGGACAATTTATTATTTCCAGTGGATTCTGCTTTAAGGCATGAAAGTGCCAATAATTTTAAGACAAAATGCCACGCTCCATTACGATCTTCAATGAAAATCGGAGAAAAAAATTCCAAATAAATATTAAATATTCTCATGGTTAGAAACTAGATTTGAGTTGAGATTCTAAATTCATTCATTTACCATTATTACTTATACATCATTCCATTTGGTCTGATGTACACTGGATGGTCAGCTGTGATTGTCCCATACATATTTTGTGACACTTCTCAATGTGTAATCATCTGTACAAACTACCTGCTGTGTTGACTTTAGAGATGTACATATATTTATTTAATGTTCTATGTTTCAAAGCAGTTCTCCAAGCCAATGCTTATACTTTTTAGCAGATACACTGTTAAAAAAATCAGTCCCATGAACATACAAACAGGAAACTTGAGAAAGTGTTTTTTCCTCCCACTTTGGGATAATCTTAAAGTGAAGAAGAGATCAGAATAATTGTGTTCCCCTTACAGCTCAGCATACTTTAGGTGGAGTCTATGATTACCTTTTTAATGCTTTGCTATTTGGGTGATGCAGCAATCAGAGCAAATTTACATAAAGGAGTCAGGAAAGATAAAACAAGTTTATTCAAATATAAGGAAAAATAATCCAAATAAGACTGGATCATAACAACAGATGAAATGCATTTTGCCTTGAATATTCAAGGAACACGTTAATGATACCTAAGATCCTTCTTTCTGTGATTACTTTATTGGACAATTACAGACAATTACAGAACAGAATTTCCTAGAAGAGCCAGTTCTGTAATTTTCAAGTTACAAGTCAGCCTACTGCTCTATTGCCCTGATTGATTCAGTCACGACTTTGAACGAGTGGTCCTTCATGGTTCTCCTCTGTTATGTCAGAGGAGAAAGACGAACATTAGAATATTTATTTCCATGTTTCGGGGTGCCTGCACAAACACCTGTCCCTGTCTACATTTTGCCTTCTCTTCTTCCTTAATATATTTTCATAGTTCATCCACCTTGTCATGATTACAAATCACTCTGTTTATTCAATGAGACACACGTCACTTTGAAAAGTCACTACTTGTCAAACTGCTCTTGGATAAAATCTGAAACCACAATCAGTTCACTCCATGAATTAGGTTACCTCACATTTTAAAATAACATATATATTATAATTTATAACATTTTTTGGAGGACAGAATTTGGGGTAGTCCAGTTTTTACGTCTGACCTGATATTTTAATAAAAGCTAACTGTATGAATTATTCTGGTAGAGTGCGTGTGTGTATGTATGTACTTTTTATTATATACACATACACAGAATATCTATGAGTTTCTCAATCTACCTGCCTACTATACTGAGCATTGGGTATCCTAACAGTGTTGAATTACAGAGGTATGGGCTTTCCTGGAGCTCTTTGCCTGTGGTCTCCCTACTGGTTCATAATCTCCTGGGTGAAATCCTGGGCCTAACCGGTTGTGAACTTCACCCTATATTCTCATAATAACTTAAATGCATCTAGAGAGGTTCTCTAGTTTTGTTTGTAAAGAACTTCTGAAGGAATATGGCAGTATGTCAAACTGTGTGAAATATAATCGTAAATAATTTACTCAAGAGCAGCTACTAGCATGGCTGGCACATGGCTTTGCATTTTGAAAGACCATGAGGAAGCCTTGTGTTACTAACATAGACTGAAACTAGCACTGCTCCGACACTGCTGATGATTAGAGATGACATATGGAGCATCCTCCTTGGTCGGGAGTCCTATTTTTCCAAAGTGTGTGCTGCACGTGGCACTAGTTATTGGCTCTGCCCCCAGTCTTCTGGGTGCAAACTGAACTACAACCTGATGTCCTGGGCACACTTGGAAATGGAGTAGAGTTTAGTACTGCCATAAAATAGGAAAGGCGGAAAGGGTTTTCCTGTTTTGTTTTTTTCTTACTATTGATTTGCTCTGTACTATTCTCTTCTGGAGGTAAGGCACCAACTGGCATTTTCATGCACTGGCTTGGAAATTGCTTTAGATTTAGTGTACTTGCAGGTTTAACATGCACCCTCTCCAACTCCAAAATAAAAAAAAAAGAATATCAAAGCAAGATTAATCTGAAAAAGTGACCATTAATCATAGTTAAACATTTAGTGGCACTGCATGCTCAAACCAACATTCTGAACCTTCCAAAACCTTCTGCGAAGTCAAAAGCTAGATTATTTTGCCAAAAATGTGAAACCTCCTTCTCTGGATATTTGTAAAAAGAAAGTAGAACAGCAACTAGAAGGATGTGCAACTATGACATACAACTATCTCCTGGGGCTTTGGGGAAAAAAAAGGAGGAGGATTGGCAGTGGATGTTAGCTCAGAGCCGGTCTTCCTCAGCAAAAAGAGGAGGATTAGCACGGATGTTAGCTCAGGGCTGATCTTCCTCACAAAAAAAAAAAAAAAAAAGAGAGAGTAGAGAGTTACTGGCATGATGTGGTTTAGGATAGGAGGCTAAAGTAAGCTACCTTAAGGTTCTGCTTTCCTAGCAAAGTACCTATAAATTATCTGAGATGCAGACAGCATGTAGGCAAAGTGCAAAGACAAAAGAATTTGCTTAATATAAATAATATTCTTTATGAGGTTAAGCTGGTCACATTTTGCAAGTAATTTATCTCTTTTGGTTTGTGATACCTGAAATACATTTTTTCAGAGCATATTCACTTATCACGTAATAAAATCTATAAATTATACTCTTGATTATTGCTTTTTTCTCAGATTATTCATTTATTTTTTCCTAATATTTGCAAGGTCAAATAACAGTATATTTAATCCAATTTGAATGGAAGAATAACTTTTTTCTCAAATACATTCTAAGAAGAATTGAAAAAAAATCTAGATATTCAGAATAGATTACCTAAAGACTAAGGTCTATTAGAAATATTTTGGTAAAGTCACGTGGATTTTTATTTTTTCTTTACTTTTTAAAAAATCCCCCTCCTTCCATTTTTGGTAAACCTTCCTAAAGCACTTTGGATCGATTCGCTGACTTAGTGTAGAATTAGATATTTCTAGATGAATCTGGGGTGAAGGCTCCCAAATAAAGTGCTTTTAAATGAAGCACCAAAGTCAGTCACTTACATTCTAATGGTCGTAAGAAGAATACTATGTAGCTCCCACGTCAGGCCTTTATAGTCTTTAAAAATATATCGTTATTTTTTCTACTAATTCTAATCCTATAGCATGCATAGTATAAAATGTTGTTGCAATCTAATCAATTTGAAGGTGAACAATATTAACAATATTAACTAAGAACAAGGTCTTACCATTCTGAACATCCAACACATGATGTTTATCTAACGTCCAACCACCCATGTTGGAAGCATCTAATTCATAGCCTTGCAAAATGGCGGTCCTCTTTTCCCACAGCGTCAGGTCTAAACATGACTCATATTCATATCCGACTGACACTGGAACCAAAACAAGTCACAGTTCATCTTCTCAACTACAGGCAGAAATGCAATTTATTTTATTATTTTGAAAAAACTGCTTTTTCTACAATTGTGTTCTGAGACTACATTTCCACTTATTTATGAGCAGAGTTTATTTTTTTCTATGAGAAGATTTGGTCACATAAAAGGCGGTTTTCTAAAAAGTGATCTCCAAATATTATTTCTGTACTGATTTAATAGAAAACTAGTATTTTTTCCCACATCACTTTTTCACAAGGGGTTCACAGCACAAAATCAAGTTCAGACTGAGCAACTGGTTAAGTAATTAGATCAGATAAATCAGCCCCAAATGGTGATCAGATGATAACAACTAAAAATAATATTTGCTATCGGAATAATTCGAGCTGTTTAGCTCCCAAGAGTATTATACTATGGAAAATATTTACGATAAGGAAGGCTCAATAGAGCAAAAATGATGGCCAGATTATGACATTATTTTCACATGTTATTATCAGGAATGAAAAATAAAATTACCAGTAAATTAATATGAATGAATCATAAATGAAAAGTTTCAGAGTTCACAATGAAGCATGGATTTGAAAAGTCAGAATAAAGAGAAGGGAGAAGTGGCAATTATCTGATTGATTTGAATTAATTCAAGTCCAAATTATATATTAACTTCAGAATAAAACATTTATCATATTTTCAGGTAAAAACTACCAGAACAAAACACAAGTTATCCTTTAGTTTTTGATGTTCTGAGCCTGCACTTGAAGCTATACCTTATATATCTCACAAGTCAAACTTGGATTGTGTTGTCCCGGCGTTCAGTCAAACTGGTTTGATGTTTTAAGACTATCCTTCTACTGAAATGACTGGTTCTTCTAGGCAAAGGAGCTGAAATAATTTTTGGACACAAATGTTGCCTGATACCCTGTTAAGTGTCATGATAAGTTGAACTTCCACTAGTTGTTAGATAGAGAAAACAAAAAAAGATAAGGTAGCGAAGGAGATAAAGTTATAAAGAAAAGAAGAAAAAGGAAAAACGGAGGGACACAATAAGATTAAAAAAACAGGAATAAAAGGATATGACAACCGGAAATCCCATTCAGAACATTCTTCTAAGATATAATTTCAGCCAGAAAAATGGACACTTTCTCCTTTTCATCATACGGAATGCATTCCCATTTATACCAACCAGCTCATAACTCCCTAGGACAACCTTATTGCCTTCCTATCTGTTCACCCATTGATTTCCATGGGTTACAAGTAATTTTATGTTAGTTCTGACTTCGAGACAATTTTTTTCGATGCAGAATATATTTATATGGAACTTACCAACAGCTTCAGATAGACCATAGACCTTCTGATTATATGCATCTGTTTTATCCCAGATAAAAGTATAGGCCAAGTTTGGTGAGGCAGGAAACCACTTTTGAAAGAGTCTTCCTACTACAGCCACCATCAGATGAACTTTCATTAAATTAAATGGTATCACGGACTGGGTCATGGTGATCTTGAGGACTGACTTATATCCTGCAGCTCTGGAACTCAAGTAGGAAAGTTTCAGATCTGTTCCTGGAATTGTGGTTTCTTCATGGAGTACCTAGGTTTGAATAAAGCAGAAGCCTCACACTGGGATCATGTATGACTATTAGCTACAACACATTTAAAAGAACCTAGTAGAACAACTAAAATAAGACACCAAAGAATCACTCTTCACAAATATGTATTTGAACTATCTCATTCAATAATTAAAAAGAACTCTGCTGCCAGCCCAATTTTACTCCTCCTAAAAGTTTCATGTCACTTATTCTGAGTTAATCATACCTCAGGTGCTACTCTTCATACAGGAAACACTATGACTGCTCCATCAGGCTGACATGCACTGACTTGTTAGTTTAGTCACAGCAGATTCTCACTAACCCATCTTTCACCCAAGCCGCCCTGGAGAATCAGAGCAGACACCTGTAAGATGGTTAGCTCAGAACAGGGATGTGGTCCAGGCCAAAGATCTGGTCTACGCCAGCTGGCTTGTTTAGGGGTTAAACCTAGGCCTATGGCCTCATGAGCTGACCAGCCACAGCCTATAACGACAGGAATGACAACAAAAAAGACCAATTCTTTTTGCAGCAAATTCCACATCCATGTTGAAAGGTAATATAACAATAGCACATTCTCATAATTAAACATTAAGCTAGGGCTCACCACTGATTTTTGATATGATGGTAAATGAACTAATATATTAAAGCTGTGTAAATTTTCCCCCAGAAAACAATTAACGTATTATTGAATGCACACAAAATATGTATATTCTGAATTCAATATATACTTTTTAAATTGAAATTGGACTGTAAAAAGTTAATATAATTACCTGCATAAGAATTATCTCCTTTACAAATTTTTATTTTATTTTTCTTTTGGTGAGAAAGATTGGCCCTGAGCTAAAATCTGTTGCCAATCCTCCTCTTTTTGCTTGAGGAAGACTGTTGGTGAGCTAACACCGTGCCAATCCTCCTCTATTTTGTATGTGGGACACCACCACAGCATGGCTTAATGAGTAGTGCATAGGTCTGTGCCTGGGATCCGAACCTAGGAACCCCAGGCTGCCGAAGCAGAGCACGTGAACTTAACCACTACAGCACTGGGCTGGCCCTCCTTTACAGTTTTTTAAAAATCATATTCTTTTTTTTTTTGTGGGGACGATCAGCCCTGAGCTAACATCCATGCTAATCCTCCTCTTTTTGCCGAGGAAGACCGGCTCTGAGCTAACATCTATTGCCAATCCTCCTCTTTTTTTCCCCCCAAAGCCCCAGTAGATAGTTGTATGTCA